AAGGGTCTTCAGAAAATCGTAGTCCATGTACGCCTCTTGCCATTCCGGCACCATTTGGGATGCAAATTCTTTCCCAAACTTCATTTTGGTATATTTGTTAGATTTTTCGGTGGTAAGAAGAAATGGTTTTGAGAGAGGACTTGGAGGAGAAGGAGAGAGACACCTTGGAGTTACCTCGTTTGGTGAGATCTAACCCATTTTTTTCATTCATCTTCTGCCATTATATAGCAGAACTTTCTTAATACATCAACATTAATTTTCTTAATTAATCTTTACCTAATACAAGAAAATCTACCAACCATTTAATACAAGATTACATTGAAAGATTTGTTGCTATTTGTGCCGCTCCATGTGCTGTGCTTTGCTGCTACTTTGCAACCTTTCATTTGCATTTGCATTTCGTTCCATTTGCATTTCATTTTGGCCTCATTTCGTCAACATTTGCAGCTTCGCTTGCTGCACTTTGCTGCTTCGCTTGCTGCACTTTGCTGCTGCTCTTGGTGCAGCTTTTCGTGCTTTTCATTTGTTGCTCTTGGTGCAGCTTTGACTTCTTTTCATTTTGCCGCCATTTTATGCAGCTTTCAGACCACAACTCCAACAGTCCTCCTTGGTGTTAAAATTGCGGGAAACAAGAAATTTACCTAAGCATTTAGACTCTGCGATTTGCAATTCTTTATGCTTTGGTTTTGATTTGTTGTTGTTGCTAAACCCATCTCCTTTAGCAGATAAGCTCTTCCTTTAATACTGTAGCTTCATCTTGCTTAAATTTTCTGCTTTTAACAAATTTTTGGAGCTTTATTGAGCTTCCCGTAAGTTGCTCAATTTTCTTCTTTTAATCTACAGCTTCCATAGGGTCAGATCAGATTTAACTTTATGGTGAACTTGACTTGATGCATGCTCTGAGTTTTCTTTCTTTCTCAGTCTGCACTGTTGATAGACATTCTTTTTCCCTTTGGACTGTTGGCTGTAGAATCCATGAACACCTTCTCTTTGTTGGTTGAGCTTGCCTTTTCACACCATTTTCTCACTATGCTTGCTTGATCTTGAGCTACAATGGGCCTACCATATGCCTTTATCACTTGCTGAGTGATTTGGCTAAAAAAGGAAGACGGATTTCACAACAAAACATACTGGAATCCATAGAAAGGTGGTTTTTTTTTTTTTTTGGTGTTCTCTCAAAATCACTCTACTCTCAGAGGTTCCTCAAGATCATTTAAGCTCTGATACCATGTTAGATTTTTCGGTGGTAAGAAGAAATGGTTTTGAGAGAGGACTTGGAGGAGAAGGAGAGAGACACCTTGGAGTTACCTCGCTTGGTGAGGTTTAACCCATTTTTTTCATTCATCTTCTACCATTATATAGCAGAACTTTCTTAATACATTAACGTTAATTTTCTCAACTAATCTTTACCTAATACAAGAAAATCTTCCAACCATTTAATGTAAGATTACATTGAAAGACTTGCTGCTATTTGTGCGGCTCCATGTGCTGTGCTTTGCTGCTACTTTGCAACCTTTCATTTGCATTTGCATTTCATTTTGACCTCATTTCGTTAACATTTGCAGCTTCGCTTGCTGCACTTTGCTGTTGCTCTTGGTGCAGCTTTCCGTGCTTTGCATTAACTGCTCTTGGTGCAGCTTTGACTTCTTTTCATTTTGTTGCCATTTTATGCAGCTTTCTTTTCATTTGTTGCTCTTGGTGCAGCTTTCATACAACTCCAACAATATTGATGAAGTACCCCACTCTAGTAAAACAAAAAAGAATAGTTCAGTTTGGGCTACCACACACAAAATACTTGTGTGTTGATATTGACTAAGGAATGTTAACGAAATTGACCTAGTGGAATTAATGTCTGAGACATGATGTGTATTTATACACCACAAGCTATGTCTTTTCTCCTGTAGATCGTAGAAGATTCAGACAAAGAAGTTTCAATGAAAGAGATAGCAAAATCCCATAGAAACCTCTCAACAAGAAAACTTCAATTCTAGAGCAAATTACTCACCACAAACCTGATCTGTTGTCTACTCTGTATACTTCCTCCACAGAGACCACAATTAAATCTTTCAAGGATACCCTAGTTGATGGGACTGCGACGGAGACACCCCCACTGGTCACCTATGACGAACTGGTTGTAGCAAACCTTTCCTTTGAAACCCAATCACCAATGGTGGAGGATGGTCTACACCTTGCTTAAGCGAAAGTCCCCAAAGTTCCGATCCCTAAATCAATTTGGCAACACTTATGTGCCCCATGGGAAAACTCTGTCATCATTAAACTTTTAGGAAAATCTGTGCACTTTCATGTGTTACACTCCCGCTTGCTTAAAGAGTGGAAAACAGAGAATGATTTTGAAATTATTAATGTTGGTTTTGGATACTATATTGTCAAGTTCTAATCTCCTCAAGATTACTCCATGATCCTATCAGGTGGACCATACAAACTATTTGATCATTACCTAGCTGTTCAGCCTTGGGAACCGGGATTCAATCCAACGAGAGCCAAAGCTCCTAAGACGGCAATCTGGGTGAAGTTGCATGGTGTTCCCATTGTGTGTTTCTATGAGGTCATATGTCTTTATCTGGGAAGCAAGATAGGTAAGCCGATTAAAGTTGATCCAACCACCCTCCTTGCCACTCAAGGTAAGTTCGCCCAGGTGTGTATTGAGGTTGATCTCAGCCAACAACTGCCATCCTCTGTGGATCTGGATCTGGAAGAACTGCCACAATCTCTCATTTTGGTTGAGTATGAGCATCTACGAAAAATTTGCTTTCATTGTGGGTAGTTCGGCCACACTAAGGAATTTTGCCATTACAGGAATCTTGAAAAGTCCCCTCCAGTGAATAACCCTAGTGCAAGGGCAATAATCGAACTCTCACAGACCCTAAAACCAGAAGCTGAGGAAAATAATATGGCATTTGGTCCATGGATGATCCAACAACGATGATTAAAACGAAGAACCCACCCTCGCTGGGAGACAAGTCAGTCAGTTGACAACGAACCCTTCTCCCTGTCGAAAGTTACAGGTAATTGCAATTCAAATCCCACAAATTCAGTTCAATTGAGTGCTCACACACGCGTTGTCAGAAAAAATCATCTTGATTCACGAGATAACAGATTTGCAATTATGGCAAATTTGATGGAGGAGGAATCCAATTTATGACGTTTGGAAGATGATACAGATTCTAGAAAGGCATGAGCTTATGCTCAAAATAAGGAGGTTATGGGGTCCTCTATTCTAATGGATTTCGTGCCGGTACTCCCTTCCTCACCCACAGCTCAACCCGATTCCCAACCCAATGTGAGCCAACCCACTTCGGACCCAACGAACCCACCTCCTGCACCCTCAAAGGACTTTGTTAAGCCTAACTCGAAAAGAAAGAAAACCAGAGACCCAAAACCTCCAATGCAAAAACCTTATGAACCTCCACCCACTTTTAAGAAACAACAAGATTCCTCAATCCAACCGCCTTTGGTTAAGCAGATGGATCCCACTTACATGCCCAATACCACTAACCAAAAGGAGTGTCCTACTCTTGCAGCTCCCACCCAACATCAAACACTATTGGTAAAGGCTACTAACACTAGCCAATACCAGGTAAAAGGGGACTCTTCTGGAAATTCACCATATGTAACTGGTGCACCACTTAATGGGGATCCTTCCACCCCAGTAGCTGGTTTACTCACTGCCTCCAAATGAAGATTGTTACATGGAACAGCTGTGGAATTTAGCATACGCCCTTTAGAAGGGAATGTAAAGAGTTGTTAAAAATGCATAAACAAAATATAATTTGCTTTATGGAAACTAAGGCTGACGAGGAATCTCTTGGAATTCCCTTTATGTCACGGTTTGGCTTTGATAAACAGTATAAGGTTCCCTCCATGGACGTGCGAGTGGTTTATGGCTATTTTGGAAATCATCACTAGTGAACTTGGAGGTGGTATATTGTACTAGTCAATTTATCCATTGTTCCCTGCAACAACAACGATTATCATTTTTGCTTACCTTTGCCTATGTGCAACCTCATGAAGTCATGAAAGTTGAATTTTGGTCTTCTCTAGCAAACCTAGCATCTTCTATTGATAATAGCTGGTTTGTTATGAGGGACTTAAATGACATAGCCACAGTGGATGAGGCATCCCCTAGTGCATTCAGTAGACTTTCAAGAGCTCAACACTTTTGAGACTGTTTAAACTCTTGTGGACTGTTCTCGAAAGACTCACTTGGGTGCAAGTTTACTTGGGTGCGCAAGACTACTGGTCAAGTTATGTTGAGAGAGAGACTAGATTGGTCATTACTAAACCTCTTTGCTATTGAGGAGTTCCTTGAGGCTAACTCATCAATCTTCCAAGATTGTGTAGTGACCATCACCCCATCATGTTGTGCATCGACATTCCTTCCAGAAGCTCCCGTGCGGTTAAGCCAACAAGATTTGAGGCTACTTGGTTAATACACGAAAACTTCAAGACAGTGTTTTCATGTGCTTGGGCTGCTCATGACCACTCCCTCCATATGGCCATAAGCTCTGTTAGATCAGCGTGCATGAATTGGAGCAAATCGGAGTTTGGTGATCTCTTCCGTCGCAAAAGACTATTAAAGGCAAGACTCACAGACATCCAAAACTCCCCTTATTACACTTATTCGCAGTGCCTCCAAGACTTAGAAACGGAGTTATTAGATGAATACCATCGGGTCTTGCATGTAGAGGAATTGTTCTGGTGTCAAAAATCCCATGTCGAATGGATCGCTTCTAGGGACAAGAACACAAAATTCTATCATGCTTCCACAGTCATAAGAAGGGAGAAAAATAGAATCACGGCATTGCAAATAGAGGGCGTGTGGGTGATTTGTCCCATAACCTTGAAAGAACATGTTCAAGATTTCTTTATTACTTTATTCTTACAACGGTCGACTCATAGCTCAGCTAAGAATTATTTAGAGTTTCAGCCTCGGCTATCAGACATAGATAGTGCCTCCTTGCTAGATTCAGTTTCCATGGAGGAAGTTAAAGCTACTCTATTCTCTATGAAAAGATTGAAAAGCCCTGGTCTAGATGACATACAACCAATTTTCTATCAAAAAAATTGGGAGGTGGTTGCCGGTACCCTTCATTCTTCGATCAATAACTCTTTTATTGATGGGTTCTTTGAAAGTACATTGTTGCAGGCTTATACTACTTTGATTCCTAAAGGAGAGAACCCAGACACAATTCAGAAATTTAGGCATATTTGCTTGCTTAATGTGGCCTACAAAATCCTTTCGAAAGTCATAATCAACCGATTGCAGCCATTCCTACAAGACTTGATTGGGCCACTACAAAATAGTTTCCTTGCTGGACGGAGCACTACTGACAATATCATCTTAGTTCAAGATGCTATTCATTCCATGCGAAAGATGAGAGGGAAAAAAGGGGCCTTAGCCTTTAAAATAGACCTCCATAAAGCTTTTGATAGTGTGGACTGGAACTTCATTAGAGAGGTTTTGGTTGATTTCAATGTGCCAGATCCTCTAATTCGACTGATCATATTCTCAGTAACTTCTCTTCAACTATCAATCCTTGAGAATGGTGAAGAGCTCCCTTACTTCCAACCACAACGAGGTCTTAGACAAGGGGACCCTTTATTCCCTTATTTGTTCATAATGGTTATGGAGAAGCTTTCGCATATGATCTTGAGTCGGGTTCAAAGCCGCTCATGGAAGCCTTTTTGCATATCAAGAGTTGGATTGGCATTATCACATTTATTTTTTGTAGATGATCTTATGCTCTTTTGTGAATCTTCACATTCTCAACTTGAAGTGGTCATGACTTGCCTCTCTGAATTCTCTAGGAGATCAGGACTGGATATTAACTTAAGTAAATCCAAACTCTTCATCTCACCAAATATTAAAGGTCAAGTGGCATATACCTTCAGCTTTGCTTGTGGTATTCCATTAACTTGTGACCTTGGGGTCTACCTAGGAATTCCTATTATACATAAAAAGCTTGGTCCCAATACTTATAAATACATCCTTGAGAAAATACAATTAAAGCTCGCTGGATGGAAACAAAATCTCTTAAGCATGGCAAGTAGGAGGGTTATGATTCAATCAGTAACTTCCTCTATTCCAACCTATACCATGCAAACTGTCCTTCTTCCAAGCAGCACTGGTGCAGCAATTGATACTTTAAACCGTAAATTCCTTTGGGGCTCAGACTTACAGCCTAATAAGCCTCATTTGCTTAGCTGGACAGATGTTTGTAGCCCTCGTGAACATGGTGGACTAGGATTGGGGATGGCTTGTGAAAATAACAGAGCTTTAATTGCTAAGTTAGGATGGCAACTATTACAAGGAAAAGACAAACCATGATGTAAAGCACTCACTCAAAAATACCTGCGCACCGAAACTTTCACCAACTGTAGACTCAATTCTTCCTCCTCTGCAACATGGAGGAGTATTTTCAAGTGTAGAGATATGCTGCGTCTTGGTGTTCAATGGCGAGTAAGATCTAGACAACATATTAAGCTATGGCAGGACATTTGGGTTGGGGACAAAATACTCCTTGACCATGTCTCAAACTCGATACCTCCCTGTTTGCTCAATTCTTCAATGGCTAACATCATTGATAACAATGGGAACTGGCAGTTGGATCAAATTGGGGAATTCTTACTAGCTCATGTTCTTCATCTCATATATGACGTACCATTGTCCACGATGGGTTCTATTGAAGATAACATTTGTTGGCACGGTTCAACTATCGAAGAATTCACAGTAAGCTCAGCTTTCGAACTCATTCAACAACAAAAGTTACATGCCGCTCAGAGTGAAGAGATTGGCTCTGGATATGGAAATTATGTTGCTCTGAAATGATAAAAACCTTTGTATGTTTGTTGAAGAAGGGAAGAGTGCTTACAAATTCTGTTCGTTTTGACAAGCACTTGGCACCTACCTAACCTGCCCTCGATGCGAACAATCTCCTGAAACTCCAACACATCTCTTGCGAGACCGTTATTATTCAAGGATTGTTTGGGACTCTATGGCCCCATTGCCCCCTAATTTCTTTATGCTAAGCTTTGATAATTGGTTGAAAAAGAACTCTAGGAGATGCCAGACAGGTAGTGCCTTCCAGGAAAATTGGTCTTGCCTTTTTCTTGCCACTATATGGAATATATGGATAAGTTGAAACAAACTGGTTTTTGATGAACTTAAAATCCCACCACAAGTTGTTTCTCGACAATCTCAATTGTTAGCCATTGAAATGAAACTCGCCCTCGGAGCAAGTGTCGTTTCTTTCTCTAAAGACCCTAGATGGGTTAGATGGATTTTGCCACAACAACCATTCCTCAAGCTCAACACAGATGGCTCTCGGAACCATACAATAGGTGGGGCAGCTGCAGGGGGACTTATCCGCAATCACTGTGGTATTTGGATTCATGGATTTGCTGTAAATGTAGGTGTAACTTCTAGCTTCTTGGCTGAGCTATGGGGATGCCGCGAGGGATTAAAATTGGCCCATTCACTTGGTGCACAACATCTAATTCTTGAAATGGATTCCTTAATGGCAATACAGTTCATACAGTCACGCAAAATTGTTGCTAGGCCGGCATCTGTGTTGCTTGTGGACATCTTTTTGCTATTAGATGTTTTCACTTCCTGTAATGTCCTTCATACTCTACGTGAAGGCAATTCTGCGGTAGATTTTATGGCCTCTATTGAGCATGATCTACCTATTGGCATAGTGTTTTATCCATCTCCCCCATTGGGCATAGATCTCATCTTGCAAGATGATTGTATATATAGGGACTATGTTCCTTAGAAATTATGCTGGGTAGTTAGCTTCTGATGTACCAAAAAAAATGAAAGAGATAGCAGACACGTATGTAGCTTTATCTTTCAATTTTGTTCGAATATAGGACAAAAGAGGATTCCATGGATTACATTTTCTTTTTAAACAGTTGATCACCACCACGGGTCAGTGGTGGAGGGAGGGGGATGCGCGGGGGCGCTAGCCCCCCTGAAATTTGAAAATTTTGGTAAATTAATATATGAAAATTTATCTCGTTCCTCATAAAATTTAAAAATTTTGTAAATTAATGTATAAAAAATTATCTCGTCCCCTGAAAAAAAATTCTGACTCCGCCACTGCCAAGGGAGACAAAAGAGGTTTCCATGTGTTCCATTTTCTTTCAAAAAAGTTCATCACCTCCTCGGGGCCTACTAGTTGGTAGGTAGCTTCCGAGTTATTTCAGCTTTTCCTATGGCTTTCATTTGAGAATTAATAGTTTCCATTTTAACACTATGTTTTCTCGGTGGAGAAGTTCTTTCAAAGGAGAAGAGAAAAAAACACCTTCATTTGGATCAAATTTATGAAGATTTCTTCAAAGGTGGTGCAAATGCATGTACTATTTGAAAAAATAAGTAAAGGTGATTTACATCAGTATTAAAATGCCCAATTGTCAACAATGCCTGTTTTGTGTTTACCATTCTTGGGTCCCTGGTCATTGGATTCTCTAGTTGCTAGAACCCCAAGTATGGATGCATCCAATAAAATATAGGATTGAATTTTTAATTCATTAAACTAGAGTTACTAATAGTTAAATAAAAAAATCGGAGAATTGTATGTTTTGGATCACAGGACCAGTTCAACTCAAAAGATATATAAGCAATATATATTCAGGGAGAGAAAGAAAGAAAAAAAAAAAAAAGACATAAAAGTTATTATTCAAATCGCCCTTGCGTGCGGGCATGAACATTGAATAATGCAAGGATTGTCCTAGGCTGTACGAACTCCCAGCAGCCTAAGGTGAAGTCTTTGAGCCTTTGTTCTTATTTTGGGTCAAAGGTTTAGATCCTGGGTAGTCTTTTCTTTTTTTTCTTTTTTTTTTTTAATTATTATCATTATTATCATTATTATTATTATTATTATTTTGGTAATTAGGGAGACGAGTCTTGGTTAGTTCAGTGACGGCATAATAATTTTGTTTAAAGAAGAAGACTCTAGGTGGCTTCCGAAACTTCTTTTACATTTGACAAAAAGATAGAAGACTGCAATCTTATTCAACAAAAGGAAAAGATGGAAAATGTGAAAGGGTGCCGGACGAGTCAATTAGTTTGGCGTCAAGTAAGGTTATTTTAATTAGTCTGAATTAATTTAATTAAGTGTTTCAGATTCCTCTGCTGACAGCACCGAAAACCGAGATGCGAATCAGCAGATCACTGAGTCCACAGACAAAGAAAGAGAAGGAGAGGAAGACGAAGAGGAAGGAGAGTGTGGGTTTTGTCTGTTTATGAAAGGGGGTGGCTGTAAGGACGCCTTTGTAGCGTGGGAGAACTGCATCAATGAAGCAAAAGATGAAGATTATGTGGAGAAGTGTGCTGAGGTGACTATGGCATTGAAGGAGTGTATGACGACTCATGCTGATTACTATGAACCTATTCTTCGCGTGGAGAAGGCTGCCGAGGAGGAAGCGCTGAGGGAGCTAGAGAAGGAGAAGGAGAAGGAAGCA